GCAAACCACCCAAACCTATACCTTTTAGGGTTTAGGACCTAAACTCAGTTAGGTCCATCTTGGTCAACAATAACACATTTTCATTTGTGTACGCTGAAGGTCCTGACAGCCTGAAAGAGGTCTGGAGGAAGCCTCGCAACCTTCTGGTGCTGATGAGTGAAGTGGGAAGCGATGCAAAGCCTTTGGGAAACGCCTAGGAGGGTCTCGGAGGCCTGGACGGGTCCTGGGAGGCCCCTGGGATGCCCCTGGGAGGGCCTTGGGCCTCTGGGAGGCCCCTGGGAGGCTCGCCTGCGGCGGTCCACCCTTTTTTGTTTTTCTCGTTGTTTTTTTTGTTGTTTCTAGGTGTGGTGAGAAATTCGGAGCCGCCGACACCCCTTTCCTTGCTCTCAGGTCCCCTGGTCCTGAAATTCGCTTGCAGAGGGGCCCCTGCACCCCCCAGACCCCCTCAGGAGAGCGAGCGACCTGGATCGACCTGCGCCATCGATGTCGAGGGCATAAGCGCCGCCCACCATCGAAGGTGGGCGGTTAGGGGACTAAACTCCAAATCCCTATTAGGGATGGGGGGATCCTCAAGACTGCAGTCATTTAGACTATTAGGGACCCTGCGGATATATCGGGATGCTCCAGCGATATTAGGGCTTTTTACAAAGGGTTTAGGAAACCCTCAGACAGACTCGTCGCGTCTGGATTTCAGTCTTTGATTGAATAACTCTGGCTTGTTTTTGAATAGCGGCAAGTGGCTTGACCTTGCTTTTGACTAAGACGTTTTTGAGAAATCCCCGTATTGCCAAACTCTGAGCGCTGTAAACCACGTTCCTGAAGCAGCAGTGTTCTAACAACCGAGTTGGTTATTGAGTAAGTGGAATGGTTGTTTTTCATTCTTCGGCCTTGACGACCTCATATTGGTAATCGCATTTTTAGTTAATGTACTATTAGTTGCATTAATACTAGCAACAATCGTAATGTGGTGTGCAAATATCAGTTCTCCAGTTAAATTGGAGGTCCCTGATCTGACCCTCAACTGGGAAAACCCAAAGCTCTGGAAACAACCACCCTAGACCACGTGAAGCCACATTGAATCTGAAACAACCCAAAACCCGTCACGCTTAACCCTAGGCTAAACCCAACGCCTAGCAGGCAGGCGCCCTGACGGTGATAGCGCGAGGCGGCCGAACCGTGATTCTCGCCGGCAGGCTCTCTGGCTCTGAATCCCTTGGTTGAGGGTTTAAGGTGTAGGGTTTAGGGTTTAGGGTTACCCTAAACCCCGAAACCCCTAAACCCGTAAACCATAAACCCTAAACTATAATCCCTAAAAGATTTGCTCCTTTGGGTTTAAGGTTTTAGAGGGTAATGTTGCAAAGCGAATCCTTTTGTGGGGTAGGTTCCAGTATGCTGCGGGTACATAGCAGGCCCTGAGGATTTGAAGCTGCTGATACTAAACACTAAAACCCTATAGTAGCTATCATTTTCTTTTCCATTATCCCTATGTGAACCCCAAGATACTAAACCCTAAACCCTACGGCATGCAATACAATCCCAACCAGGGTCTGCTGCAATCTCCATACTGGTGCACACAGCCGCCATGTTTCCAAAACTGGGACTCTGCTCCTAAAACTGTGTAGGCTTGGGCCTTCTTCCTTGAGGTCGCAAGGTTTGCCAAATTTAGGCATTAGGGTTCAGAATCTAGAAGCTCCTATCCTAAAGCCCAAGCCTTAAGCCCTAAGCCCTTAACCCTGAACCGTAAACCCTTAAACGTATCATTGGGATGTCTCAATTCAGTATCTAAATGCCAATATTATCCCTTCAAAATCCGTATATAATGATCGGACAGTATATTCTAAATAATTACAGTCACCCCTTAAGTAGATGGAATAGGGAATTCCCCAATAACATAACAAGGTCTTCATATACTCCATACTCTATCTACTTAAGGGGGATTGTACACCCTGAGCCCTAAACCCTGAACCCTGACTCAGCAACAGACGGGCATTTGCTGTTCGCATACTTGGTTTATGAATGGGTTCGAATCTAGTAGGAATATGATAGAGAATAAGGACCCTGGTCACTATATTCCTATTACATTCCTACTATATCCTTGGGGTTCCCTGTTATGGGTTTTCCGTTACCTCCCTTGAAATTAGGAGTTTACCCGCTGCATCCTGGGGCGCGGAGCAGGTGTAAAATTGTTAGTGCTGGATATGACACTGACGCGATTTAGGGTTTAGAGTTCAGGGTTTATTTT